AGCCGTGAACCGCAAAATGAAAAAACAACATGCGGATGTCAGATGCCTGCAGGTCCATAAAATATAGTTTATTGGTACAAATCTGTGAATGCTTTAAGGTTTAAAAATGGATAAGCTGTTTGAAGCTCCCTCTTTATTTTCCTATGAATCGTAGGGCCTTTTTTAGTTCAGCATATTGACTTGCAGACTTGAGCAGGAATGAAAGAAATGTCCACCTTAACAGAGCAGAGCACAATACACATGTGAGGCAAGTGTTGGAGGTTATATCAGAGCAAAGCAGATGCTCCCTCTCATAACTGAATATCTGCCTGAACAAGCTGATAAAAGCTTGAACATTAACTGTAACTGCACATGGCATGGCAGTCAGTTTAAGTCCAGGATATTCCCTTCCCCCTGAATAATTTGGAAGGTTCCCATCAAAGCTTCTTGGTGCTCATTTATAAGTCATCTCTGGGAAAGAAAGGTTATGTGATTCACATATTATTAATATTTAGATTGTAACATGCTCCCGAAAGTATTTTTAACTGCTCTTTTTATAAGGGAAGTTTGTTCTATTTGTGTTTTTGTATTTGTATGCGTTTATTTAACACAGAGCTGGAAATGCTATTTCAAAAGAGGTTATGTTGCCTCAGTTTGTGAGCTTGTTTCCATCCATATGTTCAGAAAAAATGCTGGAATGGCATTTTAAATGGCATAATGACACCAATTAGTCTCAAAGTTGTATCTCTCTTCTGTTGTATCTCTCATTTCTCAAAGCTCCCTCAGATTTAATCTACAGAGTTGAAAGTGTTGGTGAACACGTTGTTTTTTTGGACAATTACAGTTCCCAGGCCCGGTGGATTTAATGATCCCAAGCCATGTTCATGTTTTTCTTGTTTCCTCTAAGCTTTGTCTGAGTCTGCCACCAGAGAGTGATGGAAGCATGAACGTTTGTGTGCCTCTAAAGATCTCCCAGCGTCGCAGTGATGCTTCTCATCACTGAGTTCACTGAGTTTCTGTAATTGTTCTGTTCCTGACCCACATGACCAGGCTCTTTGATGCTGATTCCTCTGTTTGCTCCTCCTTTAGTTTGATGATGATCCGGATTATTTGTAGATAAGAAGTATCAGTTATTTCCACACAAAAATAAGGCTTGTAAATGTAATTTAGCTCAAATAAGGCTGCGAGAATAACTGGGCTTTGGAGGTTTATGCCAGTGATTCACTGTTTCCCAAGATGGAGACAAGGATGAGAGCCAAAGGACCAGTGCCCGATTTTGCTAACCTCAACTGTTCTCACTACACACACAAACCAACACAGACAAATAGACTAAATGTAGCAAGGTGGAGTATTTGATTCAAAATAGTCTATTTAGAGCTACTTGGATGGAAACAGTCTAGAGTAGGAGGCCACTGTGGTGCTTACGTAGCCACGGCCCATCCCAGCCCTCCTGTTTCCAGTGGGGCTGAACGGTGAAAAGGATTTATATGTGACTCAAGTGCTACGAGCTATTCATTGTTTAAATGTCAACTGGAAAAAGCAATGGACCGATTTGGCATCCAGTCAACCTATCATTTCACTCTATTTAATCAAGTCTAAAACCCACCTTCCCTCCAGCTTTTGAGATAAATTAGAACTTGTTTGCTGATCGCAGATGAACGGCGTCACCCTTTTCCCATCACGGAGAAGGAGTTATCCAAGGAAACCTAATCGGACCTATGATGTAATGTCCCACTGCGTCTCATTCTGTTACACCCAGATTAGTAGTGTAACTTTGTCGTTCTTCCTCTCTTTCTTTTGCAGTTTTGTCTGGGGGTCCAAGGGGGCGGTGAGGCCCCGTGTCCCCAGATGCACTCCCCGACATACATTTCCTCTGGTTGTTCTGGTTATTGACATGTTATAAGCACACCGGCTGTTTGCCCTTGATCCTAAACATCTTGAGGAGATCAGAGGCACGTGACGTATTTTCCCCAAAGGACTCCAGTTCTGAGTCTGAGCTGGCTCATCATCTGTGTCTTGAAATCGCAGTCTGCAGTTTGGTGTGAAAATAGCCATCAGGCGGCATCCATCACTCCAAGTCATGTGATGTCAAACTATTCACCTACTTTTAGGGGAGCATCAACAGGCTGTACCTTAATCAGATTAGACTATCTTTTTAGAAACATAATTGACAAAGAGAGAGAATATGTCTCTACAGTTCCTGTTTCTGTAAAAGAACTCAAGATCAAGTCTTCCTTCTGCGCTTTTTTTTTTTTTTTTTTTACAAATTTTTTGACTCTCTGTGAACTGGATAGCTAAAGATAGACATGGTTTCCTCCTCCTACCCCTCCTCCTCACCACCAGAATCGTGCAATGATTGCTCTAAGATCCACAACGGTTTTTGATCCTGATACTTATTAAAACCACGAGAATGAAAATGTGCCAACAACTATTGAGTTTCCTGATGTTTTGAGAGACAAAACCCTCCAGAAACAGACGGCCAAAAAGAAATAAAACAGAAGCCATGGTTCAAAAGGGCAGTTATATTTAAAACTTCATCGCAGAGCAACTTGAACTAAAACCATTCCCTGCATCCACATGAAACAAAGCATGTCTTAGACATTATCTCTCAGGCTGAATTCCCGTTCTCCCTCGTGTCCCTCTCACACATCGGCCCAGTTACAAGATTCAGGCGTCTACGGCATGTTTCCATGTTATTCCTGGTTGTTGAAAGAGGAAACATTCCTGAATCCTCCTCCTCTACGCAGATGGCAGGCTGTCGGTCAGTGTCCGTGTAGCTCCCTCCACTCTGACTCGTTTCTACGAGGGCAGGTCTTCCATTTTTGTTGACCAATGAGTAGAAAAGTCAGAGTTTCCACATTGAAACAAATTACTTTTTAAATTATCATTTGATGCAAATATAAGATATTTGCATCTTTGCTGCCCATCTTTTTTCCTGGATGTGGACATTTTTACGACAAACATCATCTTTTCCTGTCATTCAAATAGCTGAAACATCATCTTTTCTTTTTTTTTTTTTACTAAAGCAAAAGCTACAAAGGCACTCTACTAGGAAGGCCTTTGACCTTTTAGTCTTTCAGCCTTGACCGCTGACCCACCCAGTGGTCACAGGAGACACATGAATGCGAGACGGAGAGGCTGTGCTGCATCAGAAGGGAAAAGGCCGAGGCTGGCGTGTGGTTTGTGATAATGCTCCTACATGTATGCGTGCACTCACACACACATACAGCCATACACACACACACACACACACCCTTCTATCCTCGTGTCTCAACAAGGTCATGCTCTGTAAGCTTAAAAGCAGGGCCCCAGGTTGTAATTCACTTAAACCTGCAGCAGATCTCCTGTTGAGGCTCTGATTCCATTAGAATGACAGCATTTTATGATTTTTTTGTTAGGTGATATTTTCTCTTTTCTTTTTTCCATTATGATTTTTGTTTGTTTTGTATCTCTGCTGACTTTTAACGACAGCATACAGCTTGTATTTATATGAACATGTGTTGGTGGACTACATTGTGAATAATTACGTGAAAGGCCCATGGCTGATACACGCAGGCCTTTGAGATCATCTGTTTACACAGATGATCCTCAGAGAATATTAGCAAATATAGTATGAGATCATTTCTATCTGCATTATGATAGCCATGATGCATTTGTACAACCAGACATCATGTGGAGCTAAATGGAGTGATGGTCACATTTTTAGAAAATATACCAGGGTCAACCTGAATGGTGAAGTGAGTAGATGTAGGGCTGAAGCAGTCTGGACCTTACTGTCAGCACCCTGGACCCCTCCCACCACTGCCCTCTTGTTCTTATTAAGTTGCATGGATAAACCGAATGACAGCTGGAGTTTCCTGACATGGAGCGGGTCAGAAGGGAAATGAGGAATTCTGCACATCCAGGCTATTTCCTGTTCTGACTCCCACACACACGCGGGAGCACGTAGATGTAATTTGGAGCGTGCGCACGCACACACGGAGAGCGATCTGATTAACTTGCTTTTAGATTTCATGCTTGGACTCAACAAATTGCCGGGCCGAGTTTCTCGTGTGTTTAAGGAGCGCGTCAAAGCAGAAGATGATCCACCAGCAGCACGGTGTTTGTCTTCGCCTGACTCTGCTGCCCGGTTTATTACCAGCCTTTATAGCTTTCTGATACCATAACATAGCTATTCCGTGTAACCGTGAAGGCTCAGGTGTACATAAACCCTCAAATATGGTATTTGAGTCACACTTTGCCATTTTACTGGATCAAAAGAACCGGGGTCATCGGCGGGGTTAATCCTGGGTTGGTACAGTCCCTACCAGTGACTAACACCACATAGCGTGGATAACAGGGAAGGTATGACCCTCTGAAAACATCAATGGGATTACCCCTGGAATATTCCATCTGACTGAACTGTTGTGAGAGTGTTGGACTGTACCAATGAGGGGGCTCCCTTAAGGGGAAGAACACTTATCCAACGATTTCACTGTATTTCCCCAGTATGTAAATCTGAGAGGCAAGCAAATGTGTGTGGTTGGGCCCTCGTCACTTCCTCTGGCGTCTGACCAGACATTCACTCTCAGCTGTGCTAGATTTTGCTTTCCTTCACTTGACAAATGTTCCACCAGATTAGATAACATTCTTAAGTACATGCTGGTTTTCTTGTGAAATGATCCGTTCCTTCAGGATGGCCTACAGCAGCTTGTACAAACTGAATGGCTCCTCGTGTTTTTCAAAGATATCCCGATCGAGCGGGGAGTGACGGGAGCACATGTCAAGGCTGTACAGCGTGTCTTGTCAGTGTGGCATGGAGCCACTTTATCTCTTTAGTAAAGACTAATCTGTTTAGTCTGCCGGCGTCCATGATTTCAGATATTCATTCATGTTTTAACTGCACGGGTCCTTGAGCTATAACTTGAAAGTATGGCAGAATTTTCCTTGTAGATTCTCAGAATGTTAAATTCATATGAATCTATTTGTTCCACATCTTAATCTTTGAAGATCATTTATGTCTTGTGCTTCTTGGCATCAGCTTGGTATGGGATTCCTCTCCGGCCACTAGAGGGGGCTCTGCCATCACCTTTGGCCAAAAGCAGCTGCGGCCTCACAATGACCAAGTTGTGCAGTCCACAGTATCGTATCTCAGCCCCCCCATCCTCCTGCGCTGTGGCCCCATTAATGCCATGTCCGTGATTTGTTGCTGACTCAGCGATTGGCGGTGAGGCATCGTGTTATTTCTGCTCCCAGAGAAAGACGCCCTGCTCTTTCTTTCTCCTCCTTTCTGGGCGCAGGGTGTGTCGGTGGTGAACGTTAGAGGGCATTTCACCGATCACACAGAACGCTGCGCCCACCAGGGGGTGGGCAAGTGGTTGTCATGGCAACAGGCTGTGAAGTTGGCACGATCTGAACTGTGTTTTTTTTTTTTTTTTTTTATCTTCATTCCTGTGTTATGGCTATTTGCTTCCACTTTTTTTATTGATGGTGTTTTTCTCTTTGTGTGTATTTCCGTGCAGATGGAGCAGGTATCAGATGATGAGTTGGACCATGGAGCAGAAGAGGACAGCGACAAGGAGGACCAGGACCTGGACAAGATGTTTGGAGCTTGGCTGGGCGAGCTGGACAAACTCACACAGGTTGAGACACACAGGCATAAATAGGGTGGTGGGGTTTCATACACACACACACACACACACACATGCAGGTAGAGGAGCAGAGAGACAGAAGGAAGGGGGTATCCATAGCAACCTTGACAGTGCTAATCCTGTCTCTTAGCCTGTATCCTAGCAACTCCCCTCCTACCATTCACTTTACATTGTGTGTATTTGTGGGTCCATGTGTGTGCTAAGAGTCTCGCATGCAGACGTGGTTGTGAATCTCTTCGGCTTTGATCGTAGTGTCAGGATGTGTGTGTTTTTCATTTATTTTTGCGAATGTGCAGCTCACATTCCGCTTGTGTGTGCACCACAGAGTCTGGATGACGGCAAGCCGCAGAAAGCACTGCAGAAGCCGCCTCTCAGGCAGGAGACCAACATGGCCAACTTCTCCTACCGCTTCTCAATGTATAACATAAACGGTGAGAGCTCGCTCCAGGGTTGGAATCATTCCAAAAGCTGGGCAGTAACTGTCCAGAAAAGAACAAAAAAGTGATATCCTTCAATCCTTCCCACTGTCCCCCGCTCTGCTTTTCCTGCATCCTTCATCTTTGCTCCCGACAGAGGCTCTGAACCAGGGAGAGGCGGTGGACTTGGACGCCCTGATGGCTGACCTGTGCTCCATCGAGCAGGAGCTCAGTACCATTTCAAAACCAAACTCCACTCCTCGCACTCAAAGCAAAACCCAGCATCGAACCCCCGGGGGGCGCAGTGCCAGCACCAAGCACACTGGAGGGGGAAGCAGTGGAGGTAGTTTTGTAGAATTAAGTCCACTTAGACCGGTGTTTCATGCTCACTTCAAAGACAGACATATTTTACATGTTTTTAGTAGAAGTACCAACTGTCACATGCTGTCAGGGCACTGGGACATGTAAGACGAAGTCATGACCGCTGTGATGTTGGTGTTTTCAGTGAAGCTTGAATTGACTTCTTCCTCCATTTGAGCTGTGATTGAACTTTCTTAACAGGAAGTACTAGTAGCAGTACCAAAGCGTCACCAGCTAACACCGTCCGAGGCGGCAGCGTCAACAGCCGCCCCGCCGCCTCCAACATCTCTCTGGATGACATCACCTCTCAGCTGGAGAAGGCCTCTCTCAGTATGGACGAAGCGGCGCGTCAGACGTCCTCCTCTTCCTCCTCCTCATCTTCAGTCTCTTCCACCACCCTCCGGCGCCCTTCCTCCGGATCGTCCGGCGGAGGGCAGCACCGGAGGACAGGCTCTGTGGGGACGGTCAGCGAGCAGGGGGCCCCCTCCCAGCGGTCCAGTGTGAATTCGGCATGTGCCTCAGCTTCCAGCATGGATTCCCTGGACACCGATAAAGTGATCATGGGTGGAGAGGTGGAGGGTCAGAGGAGCCTGAGCTCTCAGGGGCAGAGCCAGACCAGCACAGAGGTATGACCGATGGGTGGCATCCAGACGTTTTAGTTAGTGATAAAGTGAGTGTGAAGTAATCCATACATTTCAGGAGGTGCTGGTAAGTGAAAGGAATGAATATGTGCTGGGATGGGTTCAGTTTCTGAATCAGAATGATCCAGAAATTGTCCTTAATCCCCCGCCTGCATGGTTAAACAGCACTGCCCGCGCGTTGTCCACAAGGTGCTAAACACGTAATCTCTCATGTGTCAGATTACAATGTTGGCACCAAGCTTTTCTTTGTTCCCTCGCAAAGCATACTGGCTTTCTAACATAAGCAACGTATCCACTAAAGCATTAAGATGCATTTAACTTGCTTCAGATCTCACTTAATGCTTTGTCTGGAACCCATGAAGCAAGAGGCAGGCTTGAGTGGAGAGTTGAGAAGAGACGCAGTAACACAGTGTCTTGCATGTCCCCTGCACCCTTGCATGTGTTTATTTTACTGTCTGTGTTTGCATCCCTTTCTATATCCCTGGCCTCTTTCCACACACACCCCGCCTGCACATCCTGACTTTCCCAGCATGTCACACTGCGATGGGCCAATGGTAAGCCAGCCAGACGTCAGCTAGACTTCACCTCACGGGAGGGGGAAGTGGATCGGGCCACTGTAAGTGCGCGTGTGCATGTGCGGCTGCACGTTTAATCACTTGTAGAGTAGCGAGCGTGTTCAAATTCTGATGTCTGCATGACTTTAGTCGCTGCTGAACTTTTTTTTTTTTGACGATCAGATCTTCACTTTAACTGCAGTGTGCAGCCTTTTGTTAAGTCAGTTCGCAGCCATGATATTAGAAGTCCTACGGTGTGAAAAACAGGTTTGTGAAAGTTGTTCTGCTGGCAGAGGGATGAGTATTTGTTGTATTCACACACTTGTCTCAGTTGCAGTCTGTATATTGTCAGTGTTTCTCACAATCATGGCTTCTTCACCCACAGCTGCAGCTAATGGCAGCCACAACCGCCGAGCTCCTCATTTATGGAGCCTTCTCTTGCTTCCACGCTTCTTTGTTTGAAAAATAAAAAGATCAAAACACCTGCAATTAATAAGCCTCTGAGAATCATCTGGCACTGACTTCACTTTATGTCTTTTCCTCTGCTCTTTTTTTTATTTTATCCCCTTTCCTCTCTTCACCCAAGCATTCCTATCTGGACCGAGAAACCTCGCTCATTCTGAAAAGCATAGCTGGAAAGCCTTCTCACCTCCTGACCAAGGTGACCTCCTCATACACTCGCTGATCTTTGTGTGTGTGTGAGTGTGTGTGTACTGCTCTTCTTTTCTGCTCTGCATGTCTTTCACTGGAATAATCCATCTCCTTTTAAAACTGAAAGCAGATGTGTGCAGTTTGACCAATGGTTTTTTCCCCATGTAAAACATAGCTGATGTCTGCTGTTTGACATCCATAAAGAAAGAACAAGGGCAGCTTAAAACGAGCCTTTTAAAACACATTTTGTGTTTTTATTTTGCTGACAATCATTTTAGGTTTGATGGCAGCATCACATTTCAAGCAGGTTAAGATGTGAACACGTTTCAAAATGTGAAATTAAAAAGGGCTTTATTAATTGTGTTTGGGATATTTGTTTTTTTATATACAAGCCTCCAAGGATTTGCACATAGTTGTATTCCTTGTTTCTTGTTATTATCCGTATTTGTTGTGATACCTTGTCATTTTTTAATACTGTAAGTGCATCAGAATAGACTTTTCCTTCTCATCCTGCATTCTGCACCTAAACTGACTTTTCCTGTTCAGCAATTCACATGAACACGTGGTCACTTTGTCCATGGGTCTGTTTTCTTTCAGTTTTCTTGCTTCTGCATGTTGGTGGCTATTGATTTGCACCCGTGCTTTATTCAGAAATTAGTTAAGAAACTGCTCGGGATTTACTGATCAGAAAAAATGGTAAATGTGTCTATATGCAGTCCTTTTACATGTCTATAAGTAAAAGCCCAAACTTCTTTGTGCTGGTGCTTCTTTATTTACTATTATGTACTTTCAAGTTCAAGTTTAATACGGTCTTTTCGATACAGAAAGTTATCTCTGTATATAAACTAAAATTAAAGATAGGAGGGATGACTTATTTTCTTGGACTTGAATTTAAGAATGTTTGAACTAAACGTTTAGCCTTATCAATGTTGTTTAATAGATTAAGCATTTGATTTTGCATTACTATTGTAATTTACAAAAAATTGATTCACTTAATTCCAGAGGAGGCACAGAACTCTGAGGAGATGAACTGGTGTGTAAAGTTTTTGATGCAGAAAAGACTAAACAGCAACATTTTTTAGAAAGAAGTTAGTTTTTTTCTTAATAATAGGCCACCATCCTCATACATGATAAAGTTAGGTTGACATGTCTGCAGACCTAATGTCCTTATTTGAGAATTAGTGGGACTTTGGGAAGGCAAAATTAAATCGCTGGACCCCACATTGTTGCACACCTAAAGATGAGGGAGTGACCTTTCTGTAGTGTTGAAAACTTAATTGTTCTAGCTGGTTTTGGAATGCAGAGCAGGACTCAAATCCACTGATGACATTTTATGAACAAAATTAAATAAAGCTGTCGACATATAAACTATCTTGTGGTCAAAACTGAAAAAATAAGTCAAAACCAAAACAAGAATAACGTTATTTTTTTTATCCCCTTTTTCTGTTTTGCAGTTGAATATTTTTGGTTTCTGAAAGATCTTCAATTATACTTTTTGGCTCTATGTTGAAATGTTTTTTTCTTTGAAGCTCATGATGTTGTTTTCTTTATAATGGTGCCAACCTCAAAGCAGGCTTACTCGGAAAGCAAAATAATTAATCTGTCTAGAGGTTTACAGCCAGACTTTTTGAGGAGCAGTTACTTTTTCCTCTTTGTTTCACAAAACAATAGAAATAATTCTGCATTTTAAACCTATTTGTTTCTGGCTTATAGGCTCTGGGCTCTCAATCTGAGTGTGCATGCAGAGAGAATTAAAAACCGGGGAGTGGAGGGCACCATACAGGCTGGGAGGGATGTCGGTGTGAGCCGCTGTTGCCTGGATTCATGATTCAGAATACTGAAAGTGCACAGCCTTAGTGCATCTGAGGAGGAAGGGAAAACGCCTGTAGAACAGGAATCAGGCTGGAATCAGACTAATATCCACTAAAAGAGGAAGGTGTAAGTGTCATGTGGAGCGATGATAGTGGAGGCGGCTGAGCTGCGGAGGGGTCATCCAGGCGTTTCTGTAGTTAAACCACAGGGCGACTCAAATCGCCTCTGGACTGTAATCTGCTCTGACCTCCTCTCTCAATTCGTGCTCCTCACACTCACACACTTGAGTGACTAAAAGCCTGCCACTGTGTGTTGGCCAAACTGAGACTCAGATTTTTATGGCATAAATGTGTGTGTGCCTTGAAGTTGGTCATGTGGAAAAAGTAGTCTGGGTCAAAAGGGGGCAGGGGGAGTTCTTGACATGAGGCTTGGAGGGCTGCTGGAAATCCCCCCCCCCCCCCCCCACCCCCGAACTACTTCAAATATTCAGCAGCTCTTTCCCCTCAGATTCCCCCCATCCCTGCCACTGTAGTTTAGCTTCAGGACCACAGTGGGTCACGGTCCTTCATACCCCCCAATGCTGATTGGGGAAGGTGTCTTGTGAAAGGTGTTTGCTGGTTGGCTGGCCCTCGACTCTACTCGTTTTATGGGGATTATGCTCCATCGATTGGGCACGCTCCCAGAACCCTGCTTCTGTTATAAAGAGAGGAAGCGAATGATGGAGAGGGAGGGAGGGAGAGGGGAGGAAGTAGCATGAGAGGGTGGGAGGATGAAAGGGGGAGGGGCGTCGTCCTTCTTCGTGTCAGACTTGGGGTTTTGTCAAATTGTGCTCATCTCTGATGCACATGTGTGTGTGTCAGCGAGCCCGCGGCATCACAAAGTCTCGGCCGGTTTGACCGGTATTGTCTCAGTGTTGGAGGATGAAGGGCTGAATTTTCACATGCTGAGGACCATGATGGAATAACTTTTATTGTAAGAGCAAACGAACAGATTTTCTGTCTCAACCCGAGTATTTTTTTTTTAATCATTTAAAAAAAGAAAGATCTGGAGATCGCATCTGGATATTTTACTTATTTTTTTGTCTGATTTCCGTGTCTCTAAGTGGAAATTGTAGATGCTCTTTGAACTGATCCTGCATTAATCTGCAGCCTTTCTCGCCCTTTGGGGATCTTCTACCATTGTTTCCCTTCTGCTGGATAGCAGGATCAAAGGAAACGCTGCAGCTTCACATGAATCCAGAATGAAACCATAAACTAGAAATGGAGCGCCATATTTGAGGGAGCTCAGGACCAATGTCACAACCGCAGCCATTTAGCTGCAACGCGGCTTTCATTCGTGCCTGGCTTGAATAATTATAATATTTATATTTAAGTTGTAAAGCACACACACGGAAATACACACAACCTGTAGAATGGAGGTGATGGCATCTTGCTGGAGGGGGCAGGTAAGCGTCAGAAAATAGAGGAGAGTTGTTTTAGTAGTACGAAGCTTGTATTTAAAAAAATCATTTTAGTGGGCTGCTACCTCACTAATGAAACTGTATGTCTGGTTCCTGCCTAAGGAGTAATTAAAGGCATGACTGGCGGACAAGGCAAAGCTTTGAAATTTGAAGCGGTTTTTGGTTTTTCTTTGAATGACAGCTGCATTAACGGCTCCCGTTTGTCCGTTCAGGAGGAGCAAGCTGCCAAGCTGAAGGCAGAGAAGATTCGAGTTGCCCTGGAGAAAATCAAGGAGGCACAGGTCAAAAAGGTAGGGCCACACACTTGACTTCAGGCTCAAGTTTCCCCATTGTGCGGACATATTTGCTGCATGTTGCATTTCTGTATGAACTTCGTTCATGGAGCAGCAGTAAAGTGCAGAGAAAATAGGTCATTGCAGTGTTTGATTATGTGTGCGGATCTGCTGAGGAGAGAGTGAGGAGACGAGCCTCTGAAAAAGGAAATGCAAAAACGTATACTATACCCCAGTCAGACCGAATGGCCCCCGATTTTCAGTGGACAAACTGGGGCTCCTATGAAAGCTGTGGTGTGTGTGCTCGTCTCCATTGAAAAGGCGACACTGGACTCCACAGGCGGGCCATTTTTGCCAATGAATGAACTGTTTTAATGAATGAGACTAATGCTATTGAGCAGAATAGCTTCCTTTTCATATGCAATGAATGGCTGAAGCTCAACAGTGTTGCAGCAAACAGGGCTAAACTTACAAAAAAAGAATAAAAAGTCAACATGTCAGGATAAAGGATGCTGGCACAGCTGTATTACAAGCCCAGCAACGAGTCACTTCACTGTGGAGTGGAGTCATCATTCAGTCAGAACTGCTTCAATGTCTATGTATCTACAAATATGGAAACTACTACATCTAAAAAAATAAATAAATGTATATATATTTATTTCATTTATTTTTGTTAGATGTAGTAGTTTCCATTTTTTGTGGGGTTAGCGGGCTCTTGTCAGGGAAATGTAGGTCAGACTCCCTGTGTCTGAGACTCCTGTGATTCTCATAGGTTTTATTTGCAGTTCAGTCATCCGTACCTCCACACTGATTGGTGGTGAGGGTCGCAGTGGGAGGGGATAAACGGCAGGTCCAGGAATTGAATGCTTTAATAGATTTCACAGCAGGACGGATCTGAAGCGGGCTGCGGTTGAGGGATGCTGGATTTGGCTCCAGCATTCGTCACGTTCAGATTAGTTTAGGTTAATTTGTTATAGAGGACCTTTGGTCGCTTATTAACGTAAAGCTTACTGTGACCCCATTAGTTGTTTGAAATATTCTAAACAGGCACTGAAATACACAGTTAAGTGGGGCTGCTTGATTTCAGTCAACATGCCGATAGCCTTTATTGAACTTTTGCTCAATAAGAAGTGTTAAATTGAAGCCGAGTATGCAGGTGTCATACCGAAAGATTATCATTTTAAGGGATGATTTAAAATGTGTCTGCTAATAACAATACCGGTGCTAAAAACCTTGGCACGTGTCAGGTGATTCGGCACCTACAGGTGAGCATGAGGTACAAATGCTGGCTGTCTCTTCTCTGTGTCTGTGGAGAAATCTATCACTCAGTGGGTCTTTCAACCCTCTGGATGCTTTTGCTCTTCCTCAGCTGGTGATCAGGGTCCACATGTCAGATGAGAGTTCAAAGACCATGATGGTGGACGAGCGACAGACAGTCAGGCAGGTGCTGGACAGCCTGTTGGATAAGTCGCACTGCGGCTACAGTCCTGACTGGTCTCTTGTGGAAACCATCAATGAGCTACAGATGGGTAAGGGTAGCTTCCATCCCAACTAAGTCAGATTAACTTTGTTTGTGGTTTGCTTCAGCCTATCTTGTTGGTATTGGGAAGTTTTTATTTACTTACTTATTTTTGCTCCACCTGCTATGAGATTTTCGTGGACGGTGACGGTTCAGTAGGGGAGCAGCCCCCCACGCAGACATCTAACGCCCCCCTCCTCTTACACTTTTTCAGAGCGCATTTTCGAGGATCACGAGAACTTGGTGGAAAACCTACTAAACTGGACCCGGGACAGCCACAACAAGCTCATGTTCATCGAGCGTATAGAGAAATACGCTCTTTTCAAGAACCCCCAGGTGACTGTCCATTAAAACTGTCGCACACATTCACCAACGCATTCACCAAAGTGAGGGTAAAGTTATCAGTTTCAGCTCGCCTTTTAGTGTGTAAATGCCCAAAGTGCACACCACAAAGGCATCGCTTATGCATGCTGAGCGCCAGCACAAAGCTGAACACTGTACTGTACATGGAGTGTGTTTGTGTGGCAGAGCTGGAAGTAGGTCAAAGCTATAAAGCGAGTAAAGGTGAATAATTTATTTAATGTAAGATGAGGTGCGCTACAAGCTTCACCCCCTTCTCCCCTTTGTACCCTTTTCACTTTCCTGTTTCTTTTTATTCCCATCCAGAACTATTTGTTGGGGAGGAAGGAGGCATCAGAGATGGCCGATAGGAACAAAGAAGCATTGTTGGAGGTAAATCTGCTCAAACCCACAAAATGCGCTCCCGTTTATATTGATCAGAAGTGTCACGCAGAGTTCATTTCCCCGCAGGAATGTTTCTGTGGTGGGTCTGTGTCGGTGCCAGAGATCGAAGGTGTGCTGTGGCTCAAAGAGGATGGAAAGAAGTCATGGAAGAAAAGATACTTCCTCCTCAGGGCTTCAGGGATCTATTATGTCCCAAAAGGCAAAGCCAAGGTCAGTGAATGCTTGAGGGTGTGCACCAGGCCCACCGTCATGGGACTCAGAGAAAATGGGAATCGAAAATGGAAGCGTATGAGAACCAGATCCACACAATGTGTTCTGTGGTATTTCCTGTTTTGGTCTTGATCACTTTGAACAGCGGACACAGAAAACAACGCATGCCTTTTTAATTTATTGGTGTAGAAACGCTGTGCACATGTGCTCTCTTTTTAGCATTGTCAAGTTTATCTGCACAGACTTCCGTGACACCCCACCAGAAAACCCTTTTGTTTTTTGTTTAAATTTAAATCTACCAGTATGGTTGGAGCTTCAAAAATAGGTTGACATCTACAGTCCATCGCAGTCCTTCTTAAGTACTGACTAAAGCACTGTACATTTAATTGGTCTGCTACATTGATTCTCAGAAGCATGCAGACACAAAACTTCAACTTCAACGGGTAATTTGGACCCATTTTCTTTAGCATAAATACTTCAAGGCAATTCAGGGCAACTCCTGTCATAAAACAGAAATGAAATGACTTCTTAATGAGACAGAAGCATCTGTCAACACTTCTCTTTTAGTTTTTTTAAGTCAGTCATACATCAGTGCATGACGTCCTGTGTTTTTCTCCTCTGCAGGCATCCAGAGATCTTGTGTGCTTCCTGCAGCTGGACCATGTTAACGTGTATTACGGCCAGGACTACCGCAGCAAATACAAGGCACCTACTGACTACTGCCTGGCGCTAAAGGTGAAGCCCTCTTTCTGCGTGTTCCAATGAATGGGTTTGAATAAATCCTGATAGAAAAATCTGTCGGAAATTGCAGAGTACTTGCACAAAATGAGCTAAATTAACTAATAATGAAGTCCAAGGTAAAGTGAGTGTGATAAGGGAAACGAAATTGAAAAAGACAAGTTAAGCTAAAGTGATTTGGTATAACAGGATTCTGTTACTATGGATAAGATTAAGTTACTTTGAATAACGAGTCAAAATCCGTTTTTCAGTGACAGATGCTAATAAACATCTTTATCGCTATTTATAGCACCCACAAATTCAGAAGAAGTCTCAGTACATCAAGTATCTGTGCTGTGATGATGTTCGGACCCTGCACCAGTGGGTGAATGGAATTCGCATTGCCAAGGTGAGTCTGAACCTGGGTTTCTATTCAAGACCTACAACCGGATGATGACTATTTTAAAATAATTCTGACTTTATGTCCTTTAATCATGCGTTTCGTGCAGTATGGAAAGCAGTTATATTTGAACTACCAGGAAGCCATGAAGAGAACAGAGGCGGCCTATGACTGGTCATCCCTCTCCACCTCCAGCATTCGCTCGGGATCAAGCTCTGCCAGTATACCTGGTTAGTTCATTCTCTGATGAGATGTTTCCCAAAGGGGCAATAGGAGTCGGGGCTTCTTTGTCTTCTCTGTCATGTCTGTAAATGACCACATGTCATTCTGTGTCTCCTCTGTTGGATGTAGATTTTTGCTCAGAGCAAACTGTTATTTGTGTGTTATTTCAGAGTCCCAGTCAAACCATTCTGGCCATTCGGACAGTGGCGTGGACACAGGCTCCTCTCATGGCCGGTCCCAGAGTGTGGTGAGCTCCATTTTCTCTGAGGCCTGGAAGAGGGGCACACAAATGGAAGAAAACTCAAAGGTAGGGCTTTCTGTCACGGACAACAAGAGAGTCACAGAGCATGTGGCTGTCTCCTCTGATTTTAACATAAGTCTTTTCCCCATCAGATGAGAATGGAGGCATCTCGAGGGGGCACGCTGCCACACTCCTCCCACAGCCACCGCCATCACAGCCAGCATTCACTGGACCACCAGGTCTTCACACCCTCTCCTCCGCCTCAGGTGCAGCTCCAGCAGCAGCAGCATCTGCCACCGCTGCAGCCACAGCCCCAGTGTCAGCCCCCCCAGGCCCCCCAGGCCCCCCAGCCCCCGTCTCCTCAGCAGACACCCCACCCGGCACCGCCCCCTCCTGCACATCCCCCCCAGGAGGCTCAGCAGCCACCACAGTCTCCGCTCCACCCGCAGGCCTTCAGCAGCTACAACCACATGCCCCTCCAGCAGGAGCAGCTGGCTCCGCCCCCCCCTCCTCCAACCCCCCCGCCGCCGCCGCCGCCGCCCCCTCCTCCCCCGCCGCCCCCACCCCCTGTTCAAATGGTGTCCCACCACTCGCCTGCTCCCACCATGTACAAGTTCAGCACCATCAACCGGCTGCAGAACCAGAAGGCTGCCCAAGCCACCAGCCACCACCGGCTGCCCAGTCACATTCACGCCACTGCCCAGCAGGTTCTCCCCACAGGTCCCACCCCAGTCAAGCCCATCAAACCCAATGTCAACCACATCGCTGCAAGGACTAACGTCCCCCCTCCGCCGCCTCCCCCTCCACAGTCCATGCCGAATCCAGGGTCGGCAATGGCTTTGTTAAAGTTCGGCCCTCCGAGCCCAGCTTCCCCACCCGCATTTATCCCTCCACCTCCTGCACCTCTGCTTGCTACAAGCTCCAAGAATGTAGCTTTTCCTCCTCCCCCTCCTCCACCCCCTCCACCTCCGCCAGCTCAAAATCCCGCGAGTCAGCTTGTTTACTCGAATGGCCTCAAGCAGGAGCTGAAGGAGCGCTTCCCGAGTCCACCGCGAGACCTCTGGTCCCCAAATGGAGCCCTTGAAGATTCCCCACCACCTGCACCGCCAGCACCGCCACCCCCTCCTCCTCCACCTCCACCACCTCCTCCTTCTCAGCAATTCCCAGTACCAGAACAGTTCCCACCTCCTCCTGGTCCCCCACCAGCACCACCAAAAATCTTTGCCCCTGGCTTTGCCCCTCAAATTTCCCCCAAACCTGTATCCCCCGTCTCCCCGTTCCCTCCTGCCCCACCTCCTCCTGCCATGGGAGGCCCGACTCCACCGCCTCCCCCGCCACCACCCCCACCACCTCCCCTTGCACCAGCATCTGTGCTAAAGAAGCAGTTCAGCCTCCAGAGTGGACACACCTTTAACCACCCTCCACCGACACTGCCCAAGCAGCATAGTCTGTCTAAACCAGCAACCATTTCCACGGGAGCTTCTCAGACCATGTCTCTCGTGAAGCAACTTGCAAGTAACTTTCCAGGAGCTTCACCTCAAGTAGCAAATCAGTCAGAGGGCCCAAAAGCTCCCGTCTCCCCACCTGCAGTCAAGACTAAACCAAAATGGCAGCCTGGTGGAAGTCAGCAGATGCTTTCGGAGTTCCCTCCTCCTCCTCCAGATGGCAACAATGGCTTCCCTGCACCTCCTCCTCCTCCACCTCCACCACCTCCTCCAGGACCTGTCACAGGCCCAACACCACCTCCTCCTCCACTTCCTCCAGGAAATATTGGCTCCCCTTTGAGAAGATCACCATCTGGCTCCTCAAATTTTAGTGGCAAGAAACCTCCTCCGACTCCTCAGAGGAACTCCAGCATCAGGTCAAATGCCTCTGACTCCTATGAGGAATCCAGGAGAAACTTGCTTAGCAAGTTTGCTCCTAAAGGTAATGAACCCCCTGCCTCATACTCCAATGGGTCATCTTCAAAGGACCCCACAAATGGACCACCTGCTCCCCCAAAACCGGGAAAGCTCAACCTGGCTAACCTGCCTCTGGCACTGCAGGCCAAAGTGAGCCAAGTGAAGCAGTCTAGTGGTGACTTCCCTTCTCCACCACCTGACTGTGCCTACTTTCCACCTCCTCCCCCAGCCTCTGAGCTCTTTCCTCCGCCTCCACCTCCAAGTAACGACAACCATAGTGGAGGACCCCCTAAAGTAGCAGTGGTGAACCCCCAGCCACAGGCTCCCCCTCCTCCACCGCCTGTTTCCCTCGTCAGCAACTCAACATGGGGGAAGAGCTCCTTGAAAAAGACTCCTCCACCCACATTAGTACGGCGTAATAACAACACCCCAGAGCCCCCTCCAGTCTCCCCGCCTCCACCCACCTCCCCAAAAGGTAGCTCAGGCCAGCCCAATTTCCTGGAGGATCTGAACCGGACACTGAAGCGAAAGTCGGTGGGTCGGCAGGGTTCTGCCAGCTCTGCGGGGCTCCCTGGCAAGTTGGAACCCGGTGGGACTATGGACGACATGGCTCTGCCCCCGCCGCCCCCCGAGCTGCTCCTGGATCAGGGAAGGCAAAGCAACGGAGGAAATGGAAGCTACATGTCCGGAAACATCTCAGGCTATGCAACGCTACGACGAGGACCCCCACCTGCACCTCCCAAGCGGGGGGATACCACCAAACTTACTGGATAGTGTTGAACTTTGGGCTCCGGACACAGATGGATGAGCAGACTGTGAACGAATATGCTGAAGTTACCCGGCTTTAGTGGGAGTGGATTCCTGAAATTCTCAAACTCTCTGGGCATCTCAATGATAAAAAGCTGACTGTGTAAATACAAAAAGCCAAACAGACCAGGTCAAATAGTGCTTTTTTAATTCAACATATGAAGAATTCTAGCTCAGTGAGGTTTATTATATTGGGGTATTCAAGACTGGAGCAGGTAAGTTTGAAATCACAGGAAACTAAAAATGTTAATTTTCTGCGATTATCTAAACTCTCCGGAACATATCGTATTCCCCTTTATGGTAAACCCCATCCATCTGGTACACCGAGCAGGTTCAGTTCAACACTGTTAAGAATCCTGCAAGTGTAACTGGATCCAGGTCTGAGCCAAGTCATGCATTTGCTTATTTGCCACAGTTTTGTGCCACGCACTGGAGACAAAACAGAAAAAAAAAAACAGGAAACAGTACCACATCAGGATCCTTCTGCTTTGATACTGCATGGACCACATGTAACAACAAGCTGTATATCATAAAGGTGTCCCGGTGTGTGTGCACGTGTGAGCGGGAGAGAGACGGACTGAATATGCATGCATGCATTGTGAGCATGCGTGTCTTCATGTATGTTTGATTACATGGTGGTGAAGTAGTTTACCGTTGGGGAAGGCCTTCGTGGAACGAGGATTGTTTGGTTTGCTTTTTTATGAAATTATTTAAAGATTGATCAAATGGAAGGATTTTCTTACAAGTGTCTTTTAATAGCTCGTCAGCGGTCTTTAGGGGATCAGAGAAACACCTGGGCAAAATGGAATGTATAAGTGAGAAGATTTTGAAAGCATTGCAAATTATACACATGAAGGCAGGGATTCAATAATCCACATGGACTCTGAAGTCTCTTAATGTTTTTCTAGACTGTTTCACCACTTGGCAAATGCAAATCAGAAGGAAGCCTTATTCCCAAAGTCATGCACAGAGGTCAAAACAGTAAGGAGATATCTTCCAAAGGTTTCCAAAGAGTCTGCAAAGACTTTGCAGCTGGAAAAAAAAGTATTTTCTTTTCTTTTTGATTTCTTGTTTAGGTAGAAGGGAGGCCTATGGTGGCGTATCTTCATAGACTGTGTGAGTTCCCTGTGTGTCGGCTTGATTTTTGGACCTTGTCTTTCAGTTTGTATCTGTACAGTTGTGGCTGCTGGTCCCCCACCACTTTCATAACATATGGCATCAAAACCCAGGAAGTGGAAAATACAAACTGGATCCATTTCTTGCCTACGCACGTTTAATCCTGCTGAGGAAGATGCATTTGTCTGGTTAATGTACAAAGCATTAAATGGTGTAGTTAATAATACATCCTCTTACTTGCATTAGACTGAATGTGCTTTCAACTCTGTGTCTTGTTTCTTCATGCTGCCATTGCTCCTTTAGACCTTAGTGCTGATTTTGTTTTAACAAAGTGGAGCACAAAGGGTTCTCTTTTCTAATAGCAATGCTTTCATTTTTCGGGTGCTGGTGCTGTCCTTCAAGTAACCCCTTCTCAACTTGTCTTTGTGTGCCGGAATTACATATCATGAATATTTCACTTCATTTAAACTGGTGTTAAATGGGCCTTGGTCCGGGAAGAGCTCAGAGACCATTATATCTCCTTTATCTCCGAGCCTGTAAAGATGTACTGTTGATTCCACACAGGGCTTTTTGAACATGCTATTCATTTGTCCTATTCAGCTTCAATGGTTTCATTACCACCTGAACACAGTGTATCTTTTCTTATAAACAAATATCATTGAGCTGGACGGGATGTTGCTACAGTACAGTATGTAAGTTATTGATGTGCTGATGTGAACATGTGGGGCCAAATGAGGTGAAGGAAAAAAGGTTGAAGATTCAATAGACTTGTCCTCTTGCATATAAACTGAAAATCCCAATATAAATGTTCAAACCAGACCTCAATCTGCCTCTGAGTCCTCATTTGTTTGACTGATTTGAATGAGATGGAACTGAAGGTGTTTTTAATGCATGGAAACATCAAGACAATCATAAAACCTGGAAAAATGCCCAAAACCGATAAGGAATTGTATTTGTGTTCTTAGTATGGCTCACCCTCCCTCTAGTGGTCATACCGTGCCCTATACTTAAGTATAAAATAATTCAGCATTGTAGGGAGAATAAAGACATAAAAGGAAATGCAAAATATTTTAATTCAGCTCGTAAAATATATCCCAAGAGACTTTTACACCAGGAAGTTGTTGAAAGTGTCTCCTCTAGGCCGGATGTCCTCGATTTGGCTGTAGAGGGAACGACCAGACTGGACAGGAGGCACAGATGGAGCGGGCCCTGAAAAGTCAGCAAATTCAGTCACTAATTTACACTTACTACTTAATAAATAAAGTTGACGATTCAAAATTGGTTTACCCATGTCTACAATTGGGACATTTAATGAGGGTCTTCCTCTTGAGAACACCTGTGGAGGTAATACTTTCACGTCACCTATGTACTTAATAGTCAAAAGCAATATAAGCTTTTGTTTCACCTTTTGTTTAAGGTATTTAAGATCAAGATAAGCTATCTCTCCACCCCTCTTGACTGTGTCCTCACCTCCTCACTGGATTCTGAGCTCGAGCTGCCAACAAGGCCACATCGGAGGGAGACCAAATGAGTTGAGACGCCAGACACTCGGACCCGAGCCGCACAGGGATACGAGGACTGGAGTGGAGGTGGGTGAAGCAAACAAATGAATAACACGTATTTTAACCACAGGCTGCATTGCAGCAGTACAGACCTGATCATCCCATCCTGTCCCAGTAAAGACGTGCCAATGTAAACATTGAGCTCACGTCAGTCAACATGTAACTGTGTGATTCAAACTGACTTACCACAAAAAAGCCTGGCCTGAAGGCACATGTCTGCGGGTCTTTTCTGGTAGCTTTTGCACACTCTGTCTCCTTTATGTCAAACATCATCAACATGTCAGTGGTGTTCCGGCCCATGGGAAGAACCTGCCATGTAAGTGGCATTCATAAAGAGTTCACCACCAACAAAAAAATTAGGTCATTTAATGCCTGTAAAAAATCAAAATAGGAGAGTACTCTTAAATTACATCAGAATAAAGATCAGTACCTTTTTGACGGTAGCTCGAGACGCTCTGAAGAGATTACTGACAGCATAAGCAGAGTTGACCTCTGCCAGAGCAGCCCCCAGACCTTTGTCTGCCATCGACTGCAGCTCAGATCTGTAGAGAGGAATACCTGGAAAGAGTAGAAGAGGTCGGTGGGGATGTTGGCTGGGTCTCATTTCTAAGAGATTTATGCAGGAAGCCACTCACCTGTGCATCCCAGAGAGAGCAGCAAAGCTAAAAGAAGAATGCTTGACTTCATGGTGGACAGCTCCAAAAACAGACCTTCCATCCTTCATTGACTGCTTAATATACTCCACTTTTGTGCTGATAAACCTGCGCACCGCCTCCTACACTCAATAACCCCTCAAAAAACAAACACACATGCACAAAAAAGCCTGTTGTCCGTCCATGCTCTTTCATATAGTCCCTCACAGCCTTTGTACCTTTGTACAACAGTACTGATTCCACACTGTGTTTTATCCAATGATTAGAATTTAAATTTAGACTTCAGTTTGGTCACTGCAGACAACAATCAAATGGAGATGAACAAAACATTTTAGTGGTTTTAGTGTGACACCTTAAGCTCAGTTTGTGTAACTTCAGTTTATTTACAAGCCCACATCATCTTTTCACAGATCATCTTTTTTTTAATAAGCTTTGTGAATGCAAACATTTTCATACACATTTGTACTTTTATTCAATTCTTCAATATCAAAAATAATTCACATGAAAAGAATTTGACATCTTGTAAACAATAAATATGTTTCGCTATTTAGCATCTTTAATCCCCTTTAACAGTTCTGTGGATCATGTAATGAAACTGAGGATTATTTGTTCCCCTTTGATACAGATAAATTGAACAAAACCAGCACTGCCGACAAAGGAATGTATCCTAAAAACTACAAACTCTAATCACTGCACCATCACTGAATTCACTCCAATACAGTTTCAAGGTGTTCAAATGTTTTATCCTTTCATCGCTCCAGTGTTCCCATTAGAGGCTCCATAGCAGCAAGGAAGCAGGCTTCGAACTCCTGATCAGAGAAGCGCGCCACAGACTGCCGTGCACGGCGTCTGATCTGCAGACGGCCAGCAGGCGCCATCGCCAGGATCTGCTCGATTGCGTCAGCGTAACTGTCCTCGTCATCTGCAAGGAAGCCGGTCTGGGCCCCCTCAAAAGGTACAACGATGTCCAGCTTGGGACCCCCAGACTTGTTGGCCAGGATCACCTTCCCTGCCGCCATGCACTCCACAACACCTACAGGGGGCAAAAGAAAGATGCACTCCAACTATTTTTTTTTAAAAGACGACTGCTGATGAAAAAGAAGTCGGATGGATTACCTATTCCAAAGTGTTCGTTCCACATGGTATGCAGTCCAATGGTGGCTTCCCCCATTTCTCTCTTTAGCTCTTCAAAGGTTACGTTCAGTTTGAACTCAACTCGGTCAGCCACACCAAGCTGCTGGCACAGCCCTCTCAGCATCAGCACCCTGTCTTCATCCTCCTGATTCCTGCATCCACCAATGAGAACCAGCTTCAAACCCTCCCTCCTCCTCTCCAACACCTTTTTGAAGGCCCTGATCTGCAGCCGGTGGTCCTTCTCCGGCCTGAACTGCCCGATGGAAACGATGGAGTGGCACTTCCTGTCCCCATCGTCTTCCAGTGGAATGTCCAAGAAGGCGCTGACGTCGCAGGGCGGGTAGACCACGCTGGTGCGGTTTGGAGAGCGCCACAGTGACAGGATATGATCAAGGGTCCAGGAGGAGTTGACCATGATGAGGTCGCTGCAGGAGCCAGCCATGCCGTACAGCAAGGCGAAGAGGCAGTAGTAGACCACCTTAAAGGCGCTCAGGAACAAACTGTTGGAGATGTAGTCCGGGTTATTGAACCTGAGACGCAAACCAGATCAGAAAGAAAAGAGCTTTCATTGTGAATCCAAAGACAAGGTAAACAGCCATTTTACTCTCTGTACTTGACACACAGTGACTACCTTGGGTTCCTCTCCCTCACCACAGACAGCATGTCGGTGCTGATGGTGGGGTAGTGGACATAGCTCCCCACACTGCAGCCTCCCAGGTAGCGAAACAGGGGGAGAGTGAAAGCGTAACCCATTGAGTCGATGTAAAGATCTGGAACAAACTCTGTCAGTGCTTCCCATCCCAGGAAGATGGATCCCACACTCTGTCCCAGCAGGGTAAAGTGAGGGAACAGGCCGGGCTCCACAAGCAGACGGTGCCTTAGAAACACAAACTGAACCGGTCGAGGTAGCAGAATGTTGAAACGACGTCGGGCTCCCTCCAGAATCTGCTGCCCGGTCACACCCAAGTCTCCCGTGTACACCACAAAGTTGATGTCCGCATACCTGCATGTACATGGTCATTTTGGTAAGCTTGACATCATTTTGTAGAATCTTGCCGACAGGTAGAAAGACAAACAAACAGCAACAATCACACACGATGGAAATGAAATATCTGAGGAGAGTTGTGAGTCTGGTTAACCTGTTCTGCAGCGCCCTGATGGCGCACCAGAGCACCCTTTCCCCCCCCCCCACCAGCATTGCAGTAAGGGTGGAAGAAGGCCACGGTGGGGCGAGCATCCCTGGCCCGCCGGGCATTCCTGAGGCTCTGCAACCAGAAGCGGATTGCCAGTACGAGCAGGACCAGGACAGCTATCAGCAGCACGCAGAGGAACCCCAGCGGCAGGAGCAACATCCACAGTAACCTGAAAGAGAGATACATAGCTGATAGTCATTTTGTGCTAATGCACATTAGAAGTAGACCTAACAACTCTCGGTTGCTAACATGTTAATAAACAGCATTTATTGTGTCCTCTTTTTTTGTTTAGTCTTCCGGGATTTTGTTTACCCCTCAGTAAGAGAAATCCTTAATATTAAACCCCAGAATCCGTTTTGAGCCTGCACAAAGATCTATTTTTAATTTGTTTTCTTTTGTAGCAGAGTTTGTGTTTATCATTTGTAATGTTCACGGTGACTTTTTAAAAAAATTGAATCCGTCACAAACTGGAGGAAATCAAAAGGATGCTCGGTTTTACAAACATGCCAAGAGGTTTTAGTGTTTTTAATCACAAAAAAAGGAAACTTTGAGTCCTCTCCTGATATAACAGCTAGAATATAAATGACTGACTGAGATCGCGGGAACTATTTTAATGTATGAGAGCGTTATACGACATCTATTAAGCCCTGCAGCAGTCCAGCCACGAGCAAAGACCCAATAAGCTTACAAAAGCTAAAAACTGACATATTGTTGTTGGTGGAAAACATTTACTCGACATACAAATCCTTTTTACCTCGTTAATTCACATAAACACAGGACCAGCTGATCGTGGGCCGACATCTTGGCAACAGAGAAGCGTCATCACAGCCCGCCGCTGCTTTACGGTCTCATGTGGCGCCACCTGCAGGCGGGGGGGAGTCACTGCACGGACACCTGCCTCCCCGATCAAAACTCATTTTTATACTAACTAAGACATTTGTCACCTCCAAATGGTTATATTGTACTGTTGCAAAAGAAAGTTAGCAGCAAAGACCCACTCTGCTCTATGTCAGCTGATCAATGCCCTGTCTTGTTTTTTGCAAAAAGTAAAGTTTAACTTCTAAATAAACACCGTTTCAATCAATAAAGCCTCCCTTCCCCCACATGTGGAACAACTCTCTGACATTTCCAGTTTGGACCCTGACATCATGACGACTATTCTGATTCTATTTGTTTTTATGAATTTGGATACGATTCTGAAGACAGGACACTGCACGGATACACGGTAAAATCACCAAGTTGAATAAGTCAGTAATTAATTGTCTTTATAATAATTTGTCTGGAGAACAGGGAGTTTTCCACAGAGAAAGGCAGACTTACGCAAACAAATGCAACCATATTTTGACATATATGGTACATATACTCTCTTATTCAGTGGATATTTGTTGTGTACTCTGACACAATGTATTAGACCTCTGCATTCATCTTCGGGTGCTGTAAATGTGTTTAATTTTCTGTTTTCTGTTTATTCAGAGACCAAGTTTTATCTATCACCCCCACAACTCAAAAACAGGTAGACATCTTGAAGAATGTGTCATCCCATTACGAGGTACGTATTTTTCTTTCTCTTTGTTTGCATTTCTTGGGCCTATTTTTTCTTAGTGTGAATCATCAGAATAGATATTTCCTCCCAGACAGCACTATGGCAGCCTGTTTCTCCTGAATACATCAAAGAAGAAACCCAAGTCCACCTCTTTGTTCCCGGAAACAGCTCTGGGATTATCAAGAATCTGCTGAGAACACACGGCATAACACACGAGTATGCTGTTTGTCCTAAAATACAGCGCGGGCTCAGCAATGTGTCATGTTTCATAGGGCTTAAGCTTCTCTTGAATTTCTCTTTCAGGGTGTTGCTGGACAACACCAATGAGCTGATTGAAATGCAGACAAGAAATGACTCCACTGACCCCCGAAGTGGTGCAACTTTCTATGAGAGATACCACAGTCTGGAGGATGTGAGATTAACCCTTTAAAGCCTGATCCAAGAAAAAATACAGAAAAATTTGATTTTTTTCCCCATAGTCTTTATTTGGCCCTTCAACAACACATACCTAAAAAAACATAAGTATTTTTTTAATATTTATTATCATGAAATAAGTAAAAAAGATTGTTGCAAAGATTTCTGCCCACAATTATCAGGTACATCTGATTGTGTATAACGGGATGTTGAACACAGTTTTACCGTTAAATGATGCAAATGCTCTCAGGTGTAAACGATTTCAGAGATCATATGTATCAAATATGATTAATATGGTACTATAGGTTTAACATTTCTAATTGTGTCTAATGGCAGTCTGAAGGGTGTTATTACTGATTTTAATATCTTATCAAAAGGAAAATTATTATCATATTTGGATGATTCATAAACAATTTGATATGTTAGGTATACGTTACAAAGTTGTTTTATATTGAAACATGCCATTGTATCTTTGTAGATCTATGACTGGATAAACAGGACTACACATGACAACCCAGACACAGTTAAACTCATCCTGGTTGGCTCCTCCTATGAAAAGCGTCCGCTTTATGCCCTAAAGGTAAAGTTCAGATGTTTAATTCATATTCACAGATTCAGGGCTGGATCGAAAAATGCATTTTTTTCTGTTGAAAACTACAAAGAAAGATTTTTTGCATGTATTGAAGTGAATATAAGATATAACCCAATGTTGACCTTTTGTCTCAGCTTTCTTTAAATAACAGGCCAAATAAAAAAGCCATGTGGATTGACTGTGGTATCCATGCCAGAGAGTGGGTTGCTCCTGCTTTCTGCCTATGGTTCGTTCACCATGTGAGTGCTCTGACGCATGCACGCTTTTCCCCTGAAATGTCTTAGGTTTTTTTTCTACCAGAAGACTAAAATCAGTGCCCTGTCTCTCACAGTCGTTGTCATTTTACAAAGTTAACAAAGACATTACCCACATCCTGGACAACTTGGACGTCTACGTCCTGCCTGTCTTGAACCCCGATGGATACAAATACACGTGGACAAAAGTAAGAAGACACTAGTATTTTTTCCACAATGTTAACTTTTAAATGGACAAATCTGTTAAACAACGGCCTTCTTATTTTCCCTATTGCCTCTGTCAATTGTGGATGTTGTCTTTAATTTTGAAATAACAATTAACAATTGAAATAATACATTTAAACTCACTGTACATTTTTTAAATGTTTGAAAAGACCTCAAAGCATGTCCACGCAATCATCCATACATGGTAAGGCAACAGTTGTACATGAAGTTATTTTTAAACAGATATGTGATTTTTTTTCTCCCAGAACAGGATGTGGAGGAAGAACCGATCCCAAAATAATGCCAATAACTGCATTGGAGTAGATCTGAACAGAAACTTTGATGCCAACTGGTGCAGTACGTTTTTTTTTAACGGTTAATTATCAGCATAAACACTGCACATGATTAATTCAGCATATTGCCGATCACAATAAAGCCTCAGTATCATAGACAAAGTGAAATGTTTCTGTTCTACCCAGCGGAGGGAGCCTCACATGACCCCTGCTCTGAGATCTACTGTGGTTCTTTCCCCGAGTCTGAGCCAGAGTCACAGGCCGTGGCCGACTTCCTCCGCAGTAACAAAGATTTGGTTCAGCTCTACCTCAGCATCCACTCCTATTCTCAGATGCTCCTATTTCCATATTCCTGCACCCTTGAAGAAGCAGAGAATCACAGCGATTTGGTGAGTAGTTTGGTCAGCAGTCAATCAATCAGTGGATTTCAGCTGAAGCACAAAGACTAACTGTTCACTTCAAATGCTGAGTTTGTAAAATGAATGACATTTTACAGCTTGAAATGGCCCAAGAAGCTGCGCAGGCAATCAGAAGATATTACAGAAACACTTACAGCTATGGTCCTGGAGGAAAGACCATATGTAAGAAAAATATTAGTTCTGAAATTTTCTGAAAGAAAATGAGTTGATTAGACTCAGAAAAACATAATTATTGCATGCTTTTCTGCAGACTTGGCTCCAGGTGGTAGTGATGACTGGGCGTACAACCTTGGCATCAAATACTCCTTCACATTTGAGCTGCAGGACCGTGGACGCTATGGCTTCCTGTTGCCAACATCTCACATTTCCAGAGCCTGCAACGAAGCCTTAATTGCTGTAAAGATAATTGCATTGAAGGTTATAGAGAAAACACAGGCTGCAACAAGTTCCCCACAAACTGTGTAAGGAGGAACAACTGGAACAACATTTTCCAATTTCTTCAGAAGTTCAGTGAAGCGGAGCTATAGCATGTCATTATATAAATATATATATATAATCACACTGAATTGACACTGAATAAGTAAAACTAATATTTTACTAAAATATGTTAACATGCCATTGTTATTGATAATGTTTTAGATCTCATAAAAATGTTTCCACACAACATACAGTAATACATGTGCAATACAATGTCATATTATAATATTTTTAAAGAGCATAAAATAAACAAACTTTACTGTTGATTTTGTAATTTATTTTTGCAGGAACTGTACACAGAAGAGAAAATAACAGCACTTGCATGGATTTCTCGTCATAAAAAAAGTAATGAATCCTCAGTTTTTAGCATGCAGTCTTTTAAGTGAAATTGTGTTTCAGAATTGTTTAACTGTTAAATTACTATTGAGGCCTATTAAACTGAACATTAGAGGTAAAATGTATTGCAAAAGTGTGCTAAAATCATCAGGGTTTTACAATTCATAATCCATTGAGATGCTATCCTTGATAAATAAGCTCAAATAAAAAAGGTTATTGGTGTCATCCTGATCATACACTAATGCGATCTGTGTGTTATTTGGTCGACGTGATCTTTGAAAAGCTGGAGGTGGCGGTAATGCTTCATCCTGGACGACAGGAGCTCGATACAAAGCACCATAGAAGAAGAATGGGACATGATGCGCACTCTCCGCCAATATGAAGGCACTCAGGGCAGATTCTGCCTTTAATTTTAAAGTATAAGCCTTGTTATTTCTGCAAGCGCTTAATACGGAAGCTGGACTAAAGTAGATGCGACACCGAAACAATATATTGGGTGAGGCCTTGTGTTTCTCGCACATTAGCAGGCACGCCACATATGGCGGATTGAAGGCCCCGTGCTAAGATAAAACATGACACAGTTAACATTAGCATTAGCCTTCGCTCATATTTGTTTAAAGCACGAAGTTTAATTAACCGGCTTGGTATGTAATGTCACAAAACTGCGGAGTATTGGGGAGGTGACGTGAAATAAAAGTTTAAACAGTGAAAAAAACGTAGTTAGCATTAGATTTGAGTTAACCTTTAGCCAGTCCGTATTAGTGTGTGCCTGCAGTTAGCCCACAGGAGTGAAACCTTTTGAATGTTTTTGGATGGATAGTTTTGTTTGGCTGCTTTTGTATGCTACAGATCTACAAGCCTGTCTCATATCACGCTGTCTGTGGTAAAATGCACATTTTAATTTAAGTTTGAATGAATTATGTAATGGAATGTAACTTTTCCCTGGAAGAAATATACCCTTTATTCCGTGGTAAACACGCTGGTGGATTGCTTCTTTGAGAGGTAAAGCACAAAGGAAGCAAACAAACAATAAAAAAACGGACTTGTCACAAAACAATAATATAAATCAGTTTTTCTAGTAATGATAACATTAGTTTATTATTAGTTTATTAAGGGGGCCACTGCCAGGGCCAGGCCCCCGATTACTATTGTTGTTTTTCTGCTGTTGCTGCTGAGTGCAATAATCCACTTGTTTGGTTTCATTAACCCCTTGCTTTGCTAGTCCACCAATGATCTAAAACTTATTTTATTATTATTATTTTAATGCAATGTTTATTTCTAGTCCTGCAGAATGTCCAAGATCAGGCGGAAGGTAACAGTGGAGAATTCAAAAACCATATCCGACAGCAGTAGCAGCAGCAGCACCACAACCAGCAGCACCACCAACCCCACCACCCCCTCTCGCAGGCCCAGTGTGTTCGAGAGACTCGGCCCCAGCACTGGGAGTAATGCCGCTGAAGTATGTATTGCCCAGACTTTAGAAATCTTTTGTTTTGGGGCCAGACTTTTACATTTGTGGCTTGACACTCACATAATATGTTTCTGCTTGTAGCAGCTTGTCCAAAGATGGCTTTGTGAGGTCAGCTGATGTTGTTTTGGGTCACCTGGTTAATTTGTGTGTTCCTTTCAGAGCCACTGCAGAAATTGGCTGAAGACTGGAAACTGCAGTTACGGCAACACTTGTCGCTACACACATGGAACTCAGCCACGAGGCAAAGGATTTAGCTTTAGCCGGTAAGACAGCTGGGCCTGCCTGATGTGCCAGAACCCATTTTATCAGCATGTTTGGGTTTTCATACGAGCATCTTGGTGGGACAGGTCGACTGAGAGGCCCACAGGTGATCTGCGGGAGAGGATGAAGAATAAACGACAGGATGTTGACCCGGAAAACTTGAAGCGAGACCTAGACGAGCCCACATCGCCCACAGTAAGAGTGAGTTATCCACTGTGCTGGCGTCTCCTTTCAAATCGCTGATCAGTTTTGGATTCTGTAAATGGCAGCTGAGTGTGTTGTTGTGTGATTTGCCTACTTTAAATTTAACAAAAAGTGCAAAATGAATATTTGATTTGTTTTTGTGTTCATTTGCAGCAGAGAGACTCCTCCAGAGGCCGACACAGAGAGAAGGAGGACATAAAGATAACAAAGGAGCGCACCCCAGCCAGTGAAGAAGAGCCCACAGAGTGGGAAACTAACCGTGAAGGTAGATTGCTGTGCATGTCAGTTCAAAGTGCTACTTTTTTGGTTTTAACAGAACCAAAGAACATCAGCGCGTGCCCTAAGGTGGCTTCGCTTTTCTAGTTTTATTGTTGCATGTTGTCTGACTTTCAGACTCCGATATAGGTGACTACGACTACGAGTTGTCCCTTGAGATGAAGCGCCAAAAGATTCAACGAGAACTGCTGAAGTTGGAACAGGAAAACCTGGAAAAGCGAGAAGAGATCGTCATTAAAAAAGATGAGACCCCCACAAAAACCAGAGCAACCACCATGCCAAAGGTAAGAAGGAAGGAAGTTGCTTTCAAACCCTGAAGTGACACATTGAGCTCCCATTTCGGGGAAGCTTGTCTGCACAAGGTTCTGTTGCTAAATTTCAATCTGAGTTGTCTTCTCCATCTGGCAGGCCTCTCCAGAGCTGTTGAGCTCAAAAGACTCGCCTTCATCCAGAAAATCCAGCGGCTCCCCAAAACTCAAAGGTGGAGCGAAAGCAGCGGGCTCAGGGAAGAAGGAGAAGAAAGCAGCTGCATCTTTGGCTGAAGCTACAAGGTAGGGAAGAGCGAGCGAGCCTGCCTATGCTGTGGGTACATTTTTCTCTCCAAAGAATAGTGCCAATTTGGTGTGAACCAGAGCTTCTGTTTTTTGAAGTTTTGCACAACATTCATAAATATACAGTATATATTTTTTCACACTCTTTTTTCTGAAGAAATTTACAGATCTTTTTGTATATTGTCATGTTGATCATGAAATGATGATACAGTGAACAATTCTATGCGCACATGACTTTACTCAGTGAGCCTTTATATTTTAAAGAGAATATTATTAAATATTGTTTTTTGGTTTGTTTAATGTTATCAGGGCATCCAAAGGAAGCAAGAAGAAAGGGCCACGTACGCCCAGCCCTCCCCCTCCTGTCCCTTTGGATATTCCTGTGGTTGGGAAGAAACACAAAGGCAAGCACAAAAACAAGGAGAAGACGGAGGAGAAGCAGAAAGAAGGGAAAGATCGTGGACGAGATACTGAAAAACATAAGGAGAAGAAGGAGAAACGCAGGTACAGTGTGAACCGCCTCTGAGGCCAGTCAACTGGCTGCTTTGGGCTATTTGTATTTTATTCTTAAATCTGCATCACTCCATTCCTGGCAGGCATATTCATTTCAGTGTTTCAATGTTGTGCTTGTGCTTGCAGGGACCGATCTGACAGTTCCCACAAGGCCAAGCGTGTTGTGACATCAGACGAGCGCTCGGATAGCGTGTCACCCGCCTCCAGGGGTGCATCACCCTCAGCCAGGAAGAAGTCCAGCTCTCCTAAAGTTTCATCTCATAAGGCTCCTGTGCTCGCCTCCCCTCCTCGCAGGTCTGCTCACATCAGTAATGATGAAGACGGCTGATTGTTGTTCAACTCTTGAGTGAACTCACAGGATTTTCTCACCGCAGGTCTCCTTCCCCGCCACGCCACCAGCGCACTCCCACGCCTCCCCGCCATCACTCCCCTTCTTCCAACTCTGGCTCCTCCGCCCAGCGACACTCTCCTTCCCCTCGGCGACGCCGTTCTTCCTCCCCCAGCTACCATAGAGGCACCACAGGGCCGGCTTCCGCCTCCTCCCCTCCAAGCTCCCGCCGCTCACGTTCGCCTGCAGCCTCCCGCGACACCTCCCCCCACCGGCGGTCGGACAGATTGAGCCCCAGCCGGCACCACTCCAGAGGCCGAGAGCGCAGTCGGGGAGACAGGGAGAGGAGTCCGCCCTCCCAGGGACGCAGACAGGAGCGTAGAGATGGTTTGTCTTATCTTTCTTAGTCGGCTGTTGTTTTGAAATTCGAAAAAGATACATTTTAAGGGGAACTGTACCTAGACCACCTCATCACATCCAGAATTAAAGTTTCGACTGATCTGTAATCAGGCTGCTGTGTCTCTTTGTAAACAGACAGCCGCAGCAAACGAGAGAAAGATGGTGTCCGGGATGACCGCGACTATGACTCTGAACTCCTCTCATCTCGAGACGGCCGCGATGACAGGGAGAGCAGAGAGGCTCGCGAGCGACGCGACACTCGGGAGCGAGGAAGGGAAACAAACCGGGACTCTCGAGACGTGCGAGACAACAGGGACGTGAAGGACTCTAGAGAGAGCCGAGCCGACACCCGCTCCAGTCGAGAGTCACTCGAACGCCGCGACCGGGAACGAGAGCGGGAGAAAGAGAGGGAGCGGGAAAAGGAACGAGAGAGAGAGCGGAGCGACGCCTACAGGAAGGAGGATCCAGCTCAGGAGGACAGGATATATGGGAGAGGTCATGGTCGGGATGAGGGAGGAAGGGGGGACAGGAATGGACGAGGTCGCGGGCGCGCTAATGAACCCGAGAAAGGCAAGAGCTCCAGTTGTTTGACTTTATCTCTAACATTGAACATTGTGCCCATGTGTAACTTCTGCTCTTCTTTCAGGCTCAAACAGAAATTCCCGCGGTTCCCAGCTGGACAGCGGTTATGATAACTGGGAGTCTCGGAGCAGCGCGGCACGCGATCGGAGCGCAGAGAGGAGCTCGGATCGCACCGCAGGGGAAAGAACCTCCGACAGGGGCTCAGACCGAGACCGCTACGAGAGCGACAGAAGAGAGCCGGCCAGAGACTCCTCCTATGACAGGAGGGGAGGACATGCAGAGCGGGATCGCAGAGACAACCGAGACAGAGGTGGGGGCCGGCAACTGTTCCCTTTTTTTTTTTTTTTTTGCTGCGGACCAAAATGTAATATTCTGAATTTTGGGGAAGATGCACATAAGCATTGTCATGTATGTACGTGTTCATGTCTGTCATTTTAGGCACAACATCTAGTGTGGAAGTTCTTTTATTTAAAACAAATTGTCGAATATCTGTTTTAATGATGATTTTTCATTGTTTTTTTTGTTTGTTTTTGTCCAAGACCAAAGAGCTGCTTCTCCAAACAGATACCAGCGGAGGTCAGAGGAGTCTGAGAGGGATGAGAGGCGGGAGGAGCGCAGGTCAGATCGGTCAGACGACAGACGGGACGACAGGACCCGCGAGCGAGAGAGGGAGAGGGACAGGGAGCGGGAGAGAGAGCGGGAGAGAGAGAAGGAAAAGGAACGGGAGAGGGAAAAGGAGAAGGAGAGGGAGGCAGAGAGGGAGCGGGCCCGAGAGAGAGAGAGGGAACGAGAAAGAGAGCGAGAACGGGAGAGGGAGAGGGAGGAGAGGGAGAGAGAGAGGAAGGAGAGGGAGAGAGAGAGGGAGCAGCGGGAACGAGAGAGGCAGCGGGAATGGGAGGAGCGCGAGAGAGGGAGGGAGGACAGGCGTGACCGGAGAGAGGACGGCAGGGACGAGCGACCTGTGCGAGACACCCGGGATGATCGTAAGATGAGGCACGTTTTCCCACACCATCCGCGGTAACACTGCTCATATTTGAGCTCTTTGTTTTCGTGTTCAATTTTTGGAATAACATCCAAAATCTTTTTGGCCCCTCCAGCCGAAAGAGGCCCAGGGTGGAGAGCAGTCCAAGCCCGCGACCCTCACCCAAGCGCGCAGCTCGGGACTTCAGCCCTGCGGACAGTGATGACTACAATAGTCCTGAAGATAAAAGTGAGCGTCTGACTGGCCGAGGGCAGGCCAAGCTCCACCCACAGCCCCTCCTCCCCAGCCCAGTGTGTCCACCTCCAACTGACAGTAGGAAAATTCTTTTTGAAAAGGACACACTCCTCGTTATTGAGGACTGCACCTCTTTTACAATGCAGACAGCCTTTGTTAGCGGGCTCGCACTGTGAACCCTCTGAAGGCTTGTTTTAATGGGGTTTGATCTTTCCATTACTGGCTGTTATTGGAAATGTGGATATTTACAGCTAAACTAAATATGCAGGGTACATAATATCATAAAAATGATGTTTTTGCAAGTTTCTGAATGGAAAAGCCCCACTAATGCACATTTAACTGACTGTTTTATGTGTGATATTTGCAAATAAAGATGGAGATAAACATCGGCTCCTGAGCCAGGTGGTGAGGCCCCAGGACCCTCTGTCCCGGTCGCCACCAAGGGGCCCTGCGCCCGAAGAGAAGGCCGCGCACTGGAAGGATGAGGAGCGCCGAGGAGTCGGGGATAAAAGGGAAGCACGCAGTCGCCACGAAGACCTGGAGCTTCGTGGGGAGCGAGGCAGAGGAGCAGAGAGGCGTGGGGAGTACCTCTCAGACGCTCCTGCTGACTCGCGTATCCGAGGCAGAGAGCAGCGGGAGTCCACCCCTCCGGTGGCTCCTCCAGCTCACCCCGCTGCCGGGGACGACAGAGACGCTGCCGCGTCCCAGCCATACGAGGAGGGCAAGAAGAAGCCAAAGTCGGTGAGGAAGGGTTTGAAGAAGGTTCGTAAGGATGAGGAGCCTGCAGGTGGCAACGTAGTGGCTGCTGCCGGGGACCGTTTCAACCCCGAGCCTCCAGCCGCCGCCGCGGCAGATGTGCCTCCACCCTTACACTCCCCCAGGAAAGGAGCCAAGAAGAAGGCGCCTGAGCGGAAAAGGAAGCGCTCAAGGGAAGAGTCTGATGCATCTGAAGAGGAGATAGCTTCATCCCTTCTGCCGCACAGCAAGAAAAAGAGGGGTCCCCGGACGCCACCGCCGTCAATGAGGCCTGACCACCACGGAGGGAGGGGCGCCGCAGAGCCAGCACCACTCCCAAAACTGGACAATTTCAGCGACTGGTCGGACGAGGAGGGAGCGGGTCCGCTGGACACACAGGTTCCCCCAGCTCCGGCCGACAGGACTCCAGCAGAGCCTCTCAGAAGAGGCGCTGGGCCCAGACTGGGCAGGGAGAGGGATAGGTGCAACCCCCCACCCATTGCCCCTCTTCTTTCTCCCGACCCTCCAATGCTGCTGCAGACCATGACTCCACAGCCCCTCATGTCTCAGCCCCTGCTCCGCAAACCCCCGCCGGAGCAGACACGGAGCAGCAGCATGGGCAGCAACCAGAGCCGGACATCAACTCGACGCCTGCGTTCTCCATCCAACGAGTCGGCCCACCGAGAAGACCTCCCGGGCCCACGGGCGCGCCGGGGCCGCGTGCAGGAGACCACCTCACGCGACCGAGACAGAGAGAGAGAAAGAGAGCGTGAGCGTGAGCGTGAGAGGGAGAGGGAGAGGGAGAGGGAGCGGGAGCGGGAACGAGACCGAGAGCGCGACAGGCCAGTGGTAAACGATCCTCCCGGGGTCGAGAGGAAGTCCCGAATCGACCAGCTGAGGCGAGGAGAGCCAAGCCGCAGCACCTCGTCAGGTGAACACGCACCGTTTGAAACAGCCGTCTCTGCTGAGCCAAACAAAGCTGCCCAGACCAAAGCTAGTTTCCCCTCTGAAAATTCTTGTGTTACAGACCGCCAAGACTCTCGCAGCCATAGCTCAAGACGCAGCTCTCCTGACTCTGAGAGGCAGGCCAGATCGAGGTCCCGGGCCGGCTCCTACGACAGCCGAGAGCGGGAGAGAGACAGGGAGCCCTACGAGCGGGACAGAGACCGAAAGGAGCTCCGGCCACAGCCGCCCCAGCAGCAGCAGCAGCAGCAGCCGCCCCTGCTGCTCCAGCAGCCCCTCCAGCAGCAGAGGGACTGGGAGCCGGAGCCCAGGGACTGGCCCAGCCGGGGGCGGGAGCCCCTGCTGATGCGTCCTGGGCGGGAGCCCCTCCTCAGGGACAGGGACATCAGGGACAGGGATCGCCTACTGCCAGAAGGACTCCTGCAGCAGCATGAGCGAGAGAGAGAGCGAGACAGAGACGCCAGAGTGGAAAGAGGTGGGGATCGAGAGAGAGAGAGGATGATGATGATGATGGACCTGCCGCCACATGGCGACCCCCGGGGTTCAGGACGAGGGGATCCGAGGGGTGATGCGAGAGGAGATCCGCGAGGAGACATGAGGCAGGACAGGGGCGACTATGAACCTCTGCTGCCAAGAGAAGCCTTCAGTCCTCCAGAAGCTGAGAAACCCAGCAACAGCCACCACCTCCCGGGCGAACAGCGGGAGCTGGAGAAGACCGACAGTATTGATGGTGAGACACCGAACTTCATCTGACGGCTTTTTGCTATTAAATCATGTCAGCCAAACAGTGCATGATGTTTTCCTTTTGTTTCCAGGAGATGATGATGATGGGAAAGATGACGACCAGTCGGTTGCTTCCGTTGGAGAAGAGTATGAACCAATCAGTGACGATGAGCTGGATGAAATTCTGGCTGACAGTCACAAAAAAGAGGATCAGCAAGAGGATGAGAAAATCACAGGTATCGTAAACTTATTCTGGACCGCATTAGTGTCATTTTTTATTTGGAGGGCAGAGCTCTATTACTTGTGAACAATTGTTTAGAATGCTATATAAATTAAGTGTTTGTTTCTCAAATGTTGAATAAAACGTTGTGTTTGTGCTCACAGGACCCCTGGATGTGATTGACGTGGACTGGTCCAGCCTGATGCCCAAACAGAAGCAGGAGCCCCGGGCAGCGGGGGCGGCGCTGCTGCGCTTCACCCCGGGGGCCGTGCTGCTGAGGGCCGGCATCTCCAAGCGCCTCGCTGGCCCAGAGCTCTTGGAGCAAGTCAAGCAGGTGTGCAAGTCTGAGGTGGACGACCCCAAAAGTGAGTTGGCTTTTCATGGCAGTGTCTTTTAATAAATTAATAATTTGATCTCTGTATTCAAAGTGTTTGTGCTTCAACGTTTTTCAAATTCCCATCTGAACCGTCTCACCTAATCTCTGTTGATTGATGTCCAAACAGATGTTGACAAGCTGTTTGAGCATGACCTGGGGGCCCTGAACATGGCGGCTCTGAACAGGCGGGTGGAGAGGGCAGGTTTGCTGAGCAACTTGGGGCCTTGTTGCAAGGCCCTGTGTGCTCGCAGGGACTTCGCCATCCGCCGGCAGCTGTTAAAAAACGAGAAGGTAAACATCTCCATTTAGCCCAACGGAACCAAACTGCCTATTTCTTTTCTGTTTATCTAAGTGGATAAAACAAACCCTCCTTTCATTAGGGCCTGACCAAGCAGTACCCTGCTACTCCCATGGTTGACAACGAGCTGCTTCAGATGAGCATCCGCCTCTTCAAAAGGACCGTGGCTGGCCAGACCTTGGCCTCAGAAAGGTCTGATAGTGGGTCGGCACCGGCAGCAGAAGCTGCTGAAGCTGGTAGTAGTAAGCTAGGCACAGCTCAGCCCGAGGTGTGCGTGTCCTGAGGCAAACGTGGGAGTGAACCCTTTGAAGCCTCCTCATGCCTTCACTCCTGACTTTGTTTCTCTTTCATTTATCCTTCCATTCAAGCCTTTTTAGTCGTGAGAAGGAATAAAGACAAACTTTCAAATTTGTGCATCTTAGTTATGCTTTATGTGTTTTGGGTGAGCTGCAAGTGCTGTTCCAGACTGTTGAGCTTCCCTGCCGATGGAGGCATGTAATGCACCGCCTGTTAGACGTACAAAACACACCTAAAAGACTTCATGTTTTATCTGTATTATAGTGCGTTCAAGTTGATCTTTTTAAGTTTATTTTAATTGTCAGTTTCATCAAACTAATCAAGCTGAAATGACTGGTTTGTTTGTATTATTATGCATTGTTTACTGCAACTGCATTAAAATGGTTAGATGTTTTTTTTATTTTCAATTTTTTTGGAAATGTCTTTTCTTGATGAATGACTGTTCAACCTTCAACTATTGAGACACTTGATGTTGTTACAGCTGTTTTTGTTTACAATTACATGATATTTGAGGAGCAATTTCAGACCATTGGCTGGAGCGTGTGTTGGCCTTCACCTGAGAGATCCTGCAGGGACTTGAACGAACACTTCTGAAAAAGCACTGCCAAACTATTCCATCAGTGAATGTAATTTGTTACATCTGCTAGTCTGTGGAGGAAGCATTGCTTTGTGTATTTGTTGGGAATGGTTTGGCAATGTCTTCCTCATACGAACTGATCAGCACCACAACACCAACACTGCCATGTCCGTCCACCCCCATCTTCAAAAACGGGAGCCTAAATGTTCCAAAAAGAGAACATGGTAAACTGCTTTGAGAAAAAAAATTTAATCTGAACTTATCCTTTCTGGATCTGGCAGATGGGTCATGTTACATTTTGCACTGCTGGATAAAGTGCATCTTTAGGATATGGTTCTGTCAACACTTGCATTTGAAAGGCAGCGAGTTGAAGAGCGCAGGTTTTGCATCTTGTGAGTGCGGGGACATGATCAGCTGCACAGCCAGAATGTTTGGCATGGAAAAGCCCCTGACTTCTGTTCCCACCCCCCAGTCATGACAACCTAAACATTAAAGATGTGGAGAGATTGTCTTATGATGAAACACAATTCATATTCTCAACCGCCATCTCCAGGGTTTTATTTTTTTTGTTTGTAATATTTTGATTAACTGTCATTTTTGTAGTGTAAAATGAATACAGAATGTCATTCTCGAATTGTGACAGATTTCGGATGAACAGGTAGCTGAAGTTGAATCATACAAGTCTATCAAGACTGAAATAAAACCAGTCCTTTTGAATTAACATTTAACTTGTGATAACCTTTGAATTCAGCAAATAACATTGTGATACTTGTGTTGTTTCTATGCTATTGTGCTTTCGAGTTGATCTTTTTAAGTTTATTAAAAAGATCAACAGCTTTCAAATATTATTAAATGTATGAGTAGTCCTCTCAAATTTAAGGAGTATTTAAATGCTCCTTTTCTTTTTAGTCTAGTATTTGTTCAAAGCAGTTAATTGTTAATTTAGGTATGAAATGCAATTAAAGGGTGGCTGTAACATTATTAGATAGATAGATAGATAGATAGATAGATAGATAGATAGATAGATAGATAGATAGATAGATAGATA